TAAATATAGCAAATAAATTTTAATACTAGCTAAAAGTTGAATATAGCAAAATGCTAATTAAAAACTAAAAGTAGGAGTGGCTGTGGCTGAACGGTTCAGGTACTCTTCTCATGCCAGAGAGTAGCAGAACTATAACTTAAAAGTAGTATGTTTTTGTTTCAGCTGTTCCCTTCTTCAGGTGTTGCAACAATGAGAGAATTCACATAAAAGATTRGGCAACTGTTTTACAACAGATGTCCTTCCTGACACAACCTGGGCTCAAAGCTGCGGCGTCAGGATTTTAAGACAGCAGCACTGACCAACGAGCTAAAACTGCTTATTAAACAAAAAGACTGGTCGCATTAGAATACAAATAAATGGAACACAGAAGCATCTGTTATTCGTTTAAAGCCAGGCTAACATTTCTACAAGGATGTGCTCAAAGGAATGTTTGTGTGTTTGTGTGAAAAAATACTTAAAGTACAGATGGTGAATCAGTTTTACATGCAAACTGTAATAAAAACCATATTGTGGGCAAAAWATAATATTAAAAAAATGATGAATTATTCTAAAACAAAAGTGGAACGTTTATCAAAAATGCATTGCTTTTCCAGAAGTGAAAATGAAATGTTTCAGATGAATTGTTTAAAACACACTGAACTCAATCCAACGGTATTAAGAAAATAATGAAAGCAATTTGTTGTCTTCTGTGTGACATTTAAACCAGAAACGAGTGTTGAACTCTGGACTCCAGGATGGAAATCTTGCAAAACAGTTATCCAAGAGGACAGCTTTGCATGAATACTGGTTTTGGAGACAAAGAGTTCACTCTGAATCAAAACTGTGATAAATGAAGCTTGAATCATTCATCCCTCGAACACGTTCTTCAGAGAAACGTATCAGATTTTATAAAAGTTCATTCACTCATCACCGTTTCTGTCTAGGCCAACCCTCCGAGCACTGAGAGTCCATGACGCTTTTATGGCTGGTTCAGGGAGTCCAATCATTTACATCACTGTGGATGTGAGTTTGTTTGTTAACAAAATATCTCGTGAATCACTGGATGGATTTTTTGTGAAACCCTCAGAAAGTAATCATTGGATGTGTGTCTACAGCTGATCTACAAGTAATGGTTCCCAACCTATTTTCTTCAAAGCTACCCTTTCTTTTTCCAAGCCAAGATGACGCTACCCCACCCCCATCCCCCCAAAATACATACATAAATAAACAAATAAAATAAAATAAAATAAAATAAAATAAAATAATCCCTTGCTACTCCCCACCTCTCCCAAAAATGTTTCCAACCTTTATCTCTTTATTAAAATAAGAAAATTTTATTTGGAAACAGGGGGAAAAAATGAAAACTATGTTATAAAGTTGTAATTGTTAAAATGAACTTGTTTTGGTGATTTCTATACACAAAGATTAAATTGATAGTCATGCAACCTCTAAGCAGACAAGGTTGTGCCCCCCTGTGCTCTCTGGCAGGGACCTCAGGACCTCAGTTTCAAATCTCAGTAAAATCAACAATATCTTTCTTTTTTTTTAAGATTATTTTGCCAGTCTGTCTCAGACTGGTTGGGGGGTGGTGGGTTCCTCATGCTACAAGTGAATGGAAACATTCCAACAGAAAACCAGCAGGTCTCAGTTCAGCCAGATGGTTGTTCTACTCCAGTGCGAGAATTGTCTTACCAGTAACATCCAGGTCAGGGCGATCTGGACAGTTTTGTGTAACAGATGTCCCGGCTGGTGTCTCGTTCCAGCACAATAAACCGTCCCACATGCGGCTGCAGAATACACCTTAAGAGAGGAAACAAAAAAAGTCAAATGATGGGAATTAGTAKGTTAATAGTTGAGTGGCACTAATAGTTGGGCAGTAACAAAATAAATTTACTTGAGAACTGTTCTTAATTACTGTTTTTGAGTATTTGTACTTTCCTTGAGTAGTAGTAGTTGAGTTTTTGGCTAATCACTTTTACTCCAATACATTTATCTAAAGGGTTTAGCTACTCATTACTTTTTTTGCTCGTGTTTGTGTAGTTTTCATCTATTTTGTTCCACCAGCACAGTGTAAAATTACACACTACCCCCCTACACAGTCAGTGGTGATTTGCAGCTTTAAACTGGCTGCAAAAAAAAGAAAAATTATTTTTGTTCTCCTAGTGTTGTCTTAGGTGCAGGAGCTCAGACAGGTGGTAATGAGCATCCATGGCCTCATTTTAAACCTTTTGTATGTTTGAGGTGGTTGAACAACAATAATTTGTATCATTTTAATTATTTGCTGTGTTCGTCATGGACAAACATCCATCCATCCATCCATTTTCTGTACACGCTTCTTCCTTTTCAGAGTTGTTTTCTAATTGTAACTCTAACTTAAACAGGTGTGTAGTAGTAACAAGTTACAATTACTAGATTATCACTTTGGAAAAAAATGTGCTTTTATGAGTAGTTTTGCTAAATTATACTTTTTACTTTACTTGAGTAATATTATTTTCATGTATCGTAAGTAACATTACTGAATGAACCAGAAATGTACCAGAGAGACACCTACAGTTTATGTTGGAGTGAGACCTCTTGTTTGTATACAAGCTTTGTTTTCTAATGCTATTTTCTATCTGCTGAGACATTTGGAGGTAAAATAAATATATGGTAAACAGTAGATGTAGTACAGGAAGTAATTTACCCTGTTCTAATTTGATAAGTTTCAGAATGAGAAAAAATGTGATTGGAAATATGTTCTGCTAGAAAAGGTCATTTTATAATCATGTTATTTATGTTAACTTTCGTCATTTCAGTCTTTAACAACACCAAGTTTTTGAACATAACTTTTTTTTAATCAGTCTGATGTCATTTTAAAGCAGAGGTGCCCAAAGTGGGGCCCGCGGGCCAAAATTGCCCCCCCGAGCCATTTGATTTGGCCCACCAGCAGTTGTCCTGCTTACTAGATTGTTGAGATTAAATACAAAATACAAGTATAACTACAAGAGACATTTAAATTAGATTTAAGCCCATATATAGACTTGCACACCTTATAAGACCACATATATTCAAATTTTAAATTATGAAAAGTCCCATGAGTCTTTGCTGCCCAAGCATACATTGAATTTTCTCCATGTCCATGGGCTGAAAAAAAAAGAATGTGGGCAACCACACTGGCTGCTATGTTAACCATAAAAAATAAAACAACTTAACTTAAGTATTTGCATTTCTTATATCATTGCATTTGGCCCACGGCCCCCAGATTAATTTTAATTTTGGCCCTCTCAGGGAAAATGTTTGGGCACCCCTGTTTTAAAGTATTAAATCAAATGTTAGGATCAGTTACTTTGTATGCAAGAAGCCTTTTTACAAAATACTTTTTTTTTACTTTTACTTGAGTAAAAACATGTTGAAGTACTGCTACTTTTACTTGACTACAAAGCTATTCTAATGTTTATTGGAGTACTGTTTGATCAGTGGGATCAGTACTTTGACTCAAGTAAAAACTGAGTACTTTGTCCACCACTGCTACTGAAGAGTGATACCAATCTGATTGGARCGTCGTAAACCCTCTCACCGGTTCTGTTTTCTCTGGGTTCCTTTTCCGACCACTTAAGGCATCTGTACTGCTCCTGGCTCCGCTCACTGTGTCCCCTCGTYAGCCTCCGTCCAGGACTGAGGGAAGTGTCTGAGGTTTGTCCACTGCCRGCTATCACCCTGATCTGCAGAGAACAGATATCAGAGGTGAGACACGGGCGTCGGTATCTCCATCAGTGGAGACGAGCGCTCCTGTTTCACAGTAAGGTCACGCCCGAGGAAAGATCTGCCTCTTTATGTGTGATGACATTTTTTAATGGAGCGTTGAAAGTTCTCTTCAAAGCTGATCGGATCACGGTTTCCCCCCTCTGATGTGAACTTCTTAGTCTCCCTCCGAGTGTGACTCATTACAGCGTGTTCGAATGAGCACAAAGGAAGTTAAGAGCTGATTTTCCCTCCAAATGAATCTTATCTCTGCCCTATTGTTTGTGTTTGGAGGTGGCGTTCAATGAAAATGCGTGAAATGCTGATTTTGATCGTGACGAATGCAGAGGCCTTACTGTCGTGGCTTATCTTTTTTTCTTTCTCTCTTCTTCTATTGGTTGAAACGTAAGCCTTTCTTGAGTGCCAGGCTTATGCATTTGCATTTGATGAATTATTTGAGGAATTTCAGTACCTCTGCCAGGATTGTGTCCACATGTCTTATCGCGGCTTCCTTACTTGGGTTCTTTTGCAGAAGGATGAAAAATATATTTCTCACATCTCCTGTCTCATTAAAGCTTGAGCACTTCAAGTGAGTTTTGTGAGGAACGACGTCCCGTGTAGCAGTTTAGCAGCCGTACATATGATGTCACTCCAAGCATCGAAGTAAATGACGTCATACATACGACCACCAGGCCACCACTAATATCAACCGCTGGACAGAATCTCTTTTTCTTCTTCATTACTCGTGTCATTCATAAATACTTTGCTCAAGCTGAACTGCAACAGCCCCACTTCACATCCTTCCSTTGGTGTTTGAAATATTTTTGTTATTGAAGGGTTTTTCATCCAGGTGGTTGCTGTAATGTAGGAGGAGTCATAAGGATCAACATCACGTAAAGATTTGTTTCATTTCTAACGCCTTAATTTACAAACTGCTGTACATTTAATGAGTCTGAAACACAGACTGTGGCTCTTCAAGCTGCGGTGAATGCTGGGATTCAGAAAAGATTCAGACAAGGCCTCAGTATTTTTGAGTTCTTGTTTGTCTTTGTTTCATGTTGGAACATGTGTTTAAAATACACAATGTCTCAAAGAATAGAGCTTTAAAACATGCCACACTTTGTTGTTTTTACCTATTAAAGCAAATGTTCATAAATTCTGCGGTGGGTTTCTGTGGACAGGTTATGCGCAGTTAACATCTTACCTGCTGTAGATAGCTCCTTTTGGAGTTTGGAGAAAAAGAGCTTAACTCTGTTTGAGTTGTCAAGCTAACAGCTAGTTCAAGCAGGACCAATATGTTTCATTTGTATGTGTGTATAATGCAAAATAATGTGTGTGGGGGGGTGTCACACCATACACAGGAGTACATTTTGAGAGATTTTTTTTATAGTATACTGCCTCACTTAAGTTAAATATCTCCTCATATATTACTGAGATATAGTGTTGCAGGGGATAAATCATCATTAACTGTCCCTCTGCCCTCTGACTGTAGAATGTGTCATGCTTAAACAACAGTAGTTACTTTTTTCACACCAGAGTCAGAACGTATTTGGCGTGAAAATGAAAAAAAAAATTGGATGTCAGTTGCACATTTGCTCAACAGGCCCGGACGAGCCCATTTTTCTAATTTACCAACCGTCTTCTGCTGTCGGGCTGGACTGTTTTCAGCGCTGCTCCTCAGCAGTCTTTGTACCCCATTGTAGGGGTCACCTCGAGTGAAGAAACAGGAGTTACTGCCTCAAAGCAGGTCTCGAAAGGCCTGAGAAAAGGCAGGAACACTGAACTCTATTTTAGGCCATGATGGGTCATTTCAACCTACACGAGGACTTCAGTTCTCTTAATCAGATATTAAACATTATGTAGGAATGAGTTACTTATGCAAATAAGCTCACCTTACACCATCAACAAAAATGCCCACACGTGTCCCCCCAAAATAATCWGTTTCACCACTAGAGGGTARGCTGCAAGGGGACTGAAAAATCCTGAAGTCTGTATGACTGCATTATTATATACAAAAATTACMTTTTTTAATGCTTTTTAACCTCAAAACATGGGGGGGTGGTCCAAAAGCCGAAGCGCGGTATACGCTCATAAATATGATAAATCACTGGTTGTGTAATCGTTTAACATAAACTACTATGAGATTCTGGGGACTGAAGTCACTTCACTTCAGTCTTATAGCCCCCACCTACAGCAGCTGTTAGCTTTTCAAGATGCTCAAATTAAAACTAATTTCTCTYAACCAAGGCTCTTTAGAAAGCTGCATCCGCAGCAGGTAYGATATTAACTTTTCATACCCTTTCCACAGAACCKTTTATCTAAAGATACAAAGCTGTCACTAAGGGAAAAGATTGCCACCAACAACAATAGAACACATCAAACTAAACTTTTATAACAAAGAAATGTTTTAAAATAAAATAAAACTAAACATTTGTGAGTACTTTAGCTTCTATAATCATTGGAAGTTCACCAAAAAATATTTGTAGACTTTGTAAWGGCAGACATTAGAAGAAACACGATTACAACAAAATACTAAGTAGGACTAAAGGGTGAAATGGTGATTAGGTATATAACTTTGTGATGCTGTTAGCTGTGTATGTTTGCATTACACAAAGTGTGATCTGACTTTTATGGCATTTTGGCATCATAAGACCCAGATCAGCCTGGTCTTATTCGACCCCCAGCRCAGGTTGTGTTTGCTTTGAGCCGCTTTGCTTTGAGCACCTCAATGTGGGAGACAATCATATCAAAAATGTGCAAAACATAAAGTTCTGGTATCGATGGTATTGCTATCTCAATATCGATCCGCACAGCCTGAATAGACCCCCGGATCTCTGGGTCTCCAGAAATTAGGCAGGAAGTGGTCCATGCTAATAAACAGAAACCAGGTTTGAACCCAGGCCGGGTCATGCCTTACAGTGCAAAAACACCATTAGAGTTGGAGCACAGAAAGCGTGTTTATTGGTTATCTGAGAGATCCAAATGCAAACAATGTTTAGCATACATGTACAGAACCTTTTCAGCATAATGTWATTTGCTGTATGTGATGATAATAGTGACTCCTGGCACAAAGCAAAACAATGCCTCACTCYTGCTTTGCTTCTCTACAGTTGCTAAGAAGTTATGATATGTTTTATTCGAGAGAGTTGTTTTCAGTACAACAGCACGTCTGAATGGATTTACGACAAAAACACAATGATCTGCAGGGATTTGCATTTTTATTTTGTTGTCTGCATCCAGACCTGTAAGTTTGCAACAAGCTGGCAGAGATCCCACCAAGAAACAAATGCAACTTTTTTTTTAGGTTGTCCAGTCAAGCGGAGCTAATTAAATAACCTTAATCATAACGGGCATGGAAAAATAATCGTGTGATTTTGAGGTTTTTCTGTTGGTGAATGAAACCACCGAACCACTGCATATTACATGTCCGTTTAATGGAAAGTGATTGCGCTGTGTGTTGCATACAGAATGAGGTTTGAGACTTTTACCTCTCAGTTCAGCCTCGTGAGAATTAAAAAGTGAGAACCAAGTAAAGAGCTTACCACCAGCAGAAACCAAATGATCCTAAAGGAGCTCGCAAACCTCATATCTTCCACACACAGGTAAATCTCTGCAGAGAGAGAGAGAGAGAGAGAGAGAGAYAACAAAAACCTATTAGAGGAATCACTTGTCGACCATGAAAGTGTGTGGCTGAGCAAACATTTGGTTGTTTCAGACCAGAACTCCAGCTTCCCGGGAGAAACCCAACGCCAGCTGCTATTCATCTGAGGCGCAGAAGCGGTGCGATATCTGGCATTTTGCACTGCTCCGTGCAAGTCTGCACGTCTTCAGAAATAAACAGTTGGTGTGCCCGTCCACGTGCGAGACAGTGACACGGAAGAGCAACGTTAAATTGTGGGAGCAAAAGAATGAAGAAAAACAGAGACGGAGGCAGACGAAAATAGTTTGGGCCATTAATCAGCTGAGAGCTGAGAACTCAGGTCTCCTGCTTTGGCCTGCAGAGAACCTGCTGGAAGCTCATCCCTCCAAAACAACTGAACAAAAGCTGCTCACTGGCTCTCAAACCCTGACGGTGACCCAGGTTCGGACTGTTCAGCACACAGACGTGGACGAGCAAGTCTTTTCAAAACCATTTGTTTTGGCTGCACTGCTGGTAGATTAATCAGCGTTATAAACCTGGAACAGAACCTACCAAGAATCCAAAGCTAAGGGTTTGTTCTTGTTTTCCTCTTTTTTTTAAATCGTACATTCTGTGACAAATACACTGCCCGCAGTTGTTTACTGAATGTGAACATTGTGAAACTTAGTTTTAGGTGAAAGAAAATTAGTTCAATAAAACTAAAGTTTCAGCATCTCCAGGACACCTCAGATCTTTATCAGAAGCTTATAAACAATGACTATCTTACCTGTTGCAGATAGCTCACCGATGACCCTCAGGAAAAAAAAAACAGAGTTTGATTCTGACCAGATAAATTCCAAAAGAAGTGCTACGGCTAGGTGCTACTGCTAAACGCAACTGCAAACAATGCAAAATTCTATGAAACTAATCTTGTCAGGCAAAACTGACCAATGTACGAGTTTTAAAAATAATGTTTGCATTAACTGCAACAATATTTAGGAATTAGACTTGGTTGAAGAGGACAACATCCACTTTGCTTTGGATTTGTTCAAAATAGCTGTTAGTTCGACAATCCAGTCAGAATCAAACTCTGCTTTGAGGTCGTCCAAAAAGTTAGCTACAACAGATGATGTTCAAAATGTTTCCACAGAAGCTAACTTCATAAAAATAACTGCTTTGAATGGCAACATTTTCCACAAGGTGAATGAGTGAACAGGTATGATTCACTGTATTAATAAACAGGATGTAAAAAAATACATCAACACAAATTAAGCAACAATTTCATAAACATGAACATCAAATTGTGAAGCTAAGACAAAAACTATAAATAAATATAGATGTTGATCTCTAACGTTTGGTTCAGTCTGATGAAAAGTCCAGAACTGATGCTCACTTTTAAAATCTGACATTTTTGGGACTAAAATTCTGACTGGATCAAACCAGAAGTACTCTGGATGTTTGACAGCTTTTAACAAGTTCTTCTGTGTTTCAAAACAAAATCATTTCTCTCCAGAAGTGTGTTTTAGCACCTTGTCAAGTACAATTTGTCATGAGTGTGCACGAGCTACTGCAACCAGTCAGGGTTGGAATAGATTCATGTGAGGTGTGCGTGTGTGCGTGTGCGTGTGCGTGTGTGTGTGTGTGTGTGTG